GCATGCGCCCTATAGCAAAAACCTCTCCAAAAAAAAAAAAAGTTGGAGCTGTGAACATCACATTTTTTGTCTATATTTTGATTTCTTATTCACATTTAATTGTACATCTCTGTAGCACACAATGTGCTTTTTGTATACATGTAGTATGTGATCAAATCAAGGATATTACTAGGTACATCATTTACCATTTTCAACTGGAGAACTTTACTTTTTTTTTTTTTAGATTTTTGCCATAACGTGTGTGCACTCACTGAGGAGAAACAGAGAAAGGGATAGAGAGAAATCATCCCTCATGGCGGATGGCCATGTCACTGTCCCTTCCTCTTTATTCTCCTCTCTGGATTTTGGGCACGCACATACCGGCCTGATTCTCAAGCCACCAGCTCAGAGACTCGAACTTTGCCACTCCACCTGCTGGAGGAAGAACTTTACATGCTTAATGTTTGTAAAGTATTTCTTTTTTTTTTAATTTAAATTTATTTATATTCATTCACTGTACATCATTACAGCATACAAAATGAGATTTTCCATCCAGAGTACACTGTATATTGTCTCAATCAAGCACATCAACATACACATTATTATCAACAAATAATTTTCCATTTCTAGTTTCCTGTATGTTTTGCTTCCCCCCCCCATCCTTGATTCCCTATCTCTTACCCTCTGCCATCTCCTACTCTCTTCCCACACTGTCTCTGGTATCTGTTTGCTTTCTATACTGTTTTCTCCCACATTTTATTCCCTAAGCATCATCACAGCATACAAAATGTGATTTCCCATCCAGAATATACTGCATAGTGACTTAATCATGCATATTATTATCCAAAATTTTCCATTTCTAGTTCCTAGAATATTTTTTACCCCTTTTCTGACCCTCTGTCCTTTCCCACCCTCTTCTCACACTATCTCTGGTGTCTACAATTGTCTTCCATTCCTTTCCCACCCACATTGTACTGATCACACAATTTCTTAAATAATCTAACTACTTTCAATGGTAAGTTCACATGGTACTATTAAGAAAACCAGTTTTAACTTAAATCGTAGACATGCTAAGGAACTTTTCTTAAAGCTAGGAAACAGGTTAGGATTCTGTTCAAATGGTAGGTGCATGAACCTATCAGTCTCATGTACTTTATCTTCTGTTGTGGTTCAATTTTCCTGATTAAATTCTGGAATATAATATTCAACTCCAGACTTGTCCCTACAATTAAGTTGGCTACTGTCTTAGTTTTTGAACTCTTATTTCTATGTGTCTGTATTTTTTTTTCCTGATAAAGCACACCCTTGAGAACTTGGAGATCTGGTCTGGTGCTGGTAAATTCTTTCAGGTTTTGCTTATCTGAGAATGTTCTTGTATTTATTCTGGGAGCCCCTCCCACCTACCGTCTGTTATCCACCCCCTTCCATATAGTCTCTGGTATTTACACTTGTCCTCCCTACTGTTAGATCTTCAGATATTTCAATTTCCATCTGCATATATTTTCTATGTTGATGGATACCTGCATATATATTGAACTAGAGCTGTGGTTCTCAGCCTGGACTGCACATTAGGATCATCCAGGGGCTTTGAAAGTTCCAGATGCTCATTTTGTAGGCTAGTCCAATTAAATCAGAAGCTGGGAGGGACCCAAACATCTGTACTTTTTAAGCTCCTCAGGTTATTCTGCTGTGCAGCCAAGGTTGAGAATGACCAAACTAGATCTTCTCTAATGAGAAGGAAAATGGATTTATTGTCTTTCTGCATTCTCTCAGTGTTTGTTTTTAAAAGTTAGTCATTTCGGGGCTAGCAGGGGGTGTGATGGTTAAGGCACAGGAGTGGACTACTGCTGGAATCCTAGACCTGGCAGCTTGAAAATCATGCCAGGTGTGTGTGTGTATTCCCAAACCTAAAGAGAGAATGGAAAACGGATTGCAGTGTGGCCATCACCATGGGGGGTAATTTTTCACTTTCCCTCTCTGTCTCTTTCTCTGACTCTGTCTGTCTCTCTCTAGCAACAAAAGTTATTCATTTCAACTTTTTCTGGAAAAGCATTGTTAGCAGTAAAATACTCTATGAAGAACAAGTATCCCAAATAAAAATGTATTGTAAAGGCCAGAAGGTGGCATGGTGGTTGAGGTCCTGGATTTCCACATGGTTGGTTTTGTTTTGAGTCCCAGACCTGGCAGCTTGAAGGTCATAACAAGTGCATGTACATGCATGCTTAAGGTCTCTAAAAGAGAGTGGAGCAGAGGGGACTGAGTGTGGCCATTCCCCTGGAGGGTGATTTCTCACTTTTCCTTTCTCTGTCACTCTCCTGTGAGTGCATGAGCCCTGTGGCAAAATATGAAACAACGCCCCCCAAAAAACAAACACTGTAAACACTTTTCAAAGTAAAATACAGTGTAATACCAGAAACCTGTATTAGACATTGCTATTAATTTGCCTCACTTGCCCATACATTTTCTTCCTTTTTAAAAAATTATTTTATTTAACTTTACTTATTAATTAATTTATTTTATTTGACCAGAGAGAGACCGACTGAGGGAAAGTGAGAAAGTAAGCCACCAGGTCTGGGACTTGAACCGTGGTTGACCATGTGGGAGTCCAGTGCCCTTTACCACCACGCCACCTGCTGGAACCATTGCCCATACTTTTTCTAAAGTTTTAATCACTTAGCAATATGCCTCTCCTGCTTCAAGAAATCTTATGACTCAGTTTCACATCTCAATGCATGTGTGTGTACACATATGTTATTATGAATGGTTTCAACTTTCTCTAGACATTGCTAGGTGTAAATTACAAATTATAAAAGTTTATATTCAAGCACCCTGTGACTGCAGTTTTCCATATACAGGTATCCAGCAGTCTTAGTGCTGTTTTAAATTTTGATAATTTCTGAAGAATAGATGATACAAGCTTCCAAATCCATCACTTAAGAGTTTATTTAAATTTGTTTTATACTTATTCCATTTTGTGAATTTCAAATAATTTTTAAAATTTTATTTAATTTTATTCATTGTCACTGTTTTATTTTTTATTTTCTTGAAGTTGACCAAAGAGACATAGAAAGAGAAGGAAAATGAGAAAGTAAGCTGCCAGATGTGGGATTTGAAATGTGGTCAACCATGTGGGAGTCCAGTCACTCCAACCACCACACCACCTGCCAGCCTCTCAAATAATTTTCTTTTTTCCTTTTATTTATTTATTTATTTATTTATTTTTTGGAGAGGTTTTTGCTGTAGGGCATGTGTGCTCGCCAGCAAGACAGACACAGAAAGTGAGAAATCACCACCCAGGGAGGATGGCCACGCCGCGTTCCCTACTTCTCCATTCTCCTCTTGGGATCTTGGGCACACACGCACATGTGCCCGGTGTGAGTTTAAGCCATTGGGTCTGGGACTCGAACTCCAGTCAACTACATGGGAGTCCAGCGACATAGCCATTACACCAGCTGCTGATCCCTTTTCTTCTAATTTTTAAATTTTTTCTGAAATAATATTCAGTTAAAAAAATTAGTCCATCTAACAGAAGATAGCAAACAAAAAAAATTAAAATACATTTACTGTATTACAAAAGTTCATAAAAACAAAAAAGCATGAAAGAAAATTATAAATCATTTTTACATTTTTTATATTTAATTATTTTTTGTTGTTACAGGATTTCACTATGTTGGGTAGGCTGGCCTTGTACCTGCACCACTGTGCCTGGCTTAAATATTTTATTTTACAATGATATTTTGTGTATGTTGATTGAATTTATACTTTAGAAGTTAATAAAGCTTAAAACTACACTAAGACTGTTGATATGCTATTGTGTTTGAACTGACCTTTGTTTGCTCTTATATAATAACTCTAGTTTTTAACAATATTCTTTCCTGGGAGGAAAAGATTAACTGAAGAATTGAAATGGCTTCTCTTTTGTTAGCCTGAAGCCTTGTCTGGACCACTGACTGGGACACGTACCACTACCAAATAGCTAAGGTAGCCCTAAATATGTAGGAAATTAGT